TTAATGAATTTAAGTTGAAAATCCATTTGAACAGTAATTGAGATGCAGGGAAATGTAACCTTCCTCTGTGGCTCTCTACCTGTACATTCCTGATGGAGTCAACAGCCATTGTGTGTCCATGCTCACCTACCCAACACGAAAATAAATATTTGCATACATATGGGTCTATTTCTAAACCTTTTGCCAAGCCATACCCTGGGAGAATGTCATTTGCACAGCATTCCTGCCACTAGATGGTGACAAGGAGCAGGAAGGCCTCAGCTTCATGTAGTGTCCTTTCTATGGGTGAATGCACTTCACTGTTCATTACACTAGGATGCAAACAAAAGCAAAGTTCATACTTAAAATAAAATATGTACTGACTCACCATTATAACATATATTATACCTGTATATGAATATCTCATTTGAGTTTTTTCAACCTTATTGCTTATTTAAAATTCCAATTGAGCTTTTTTCTGTTTTAAGATATTTCAGAAATACGCACGATACTTACCTGCGGAGCACTTGAAATGAAGGTCTCTTTCCTAAAATGTCAGCTAAAAAGTCAAGATATTGATGTCAGTAAGCTAAACACTGCAAACATCGGCTGTTATACCCTTCAAGATGATATTGTCAACGGAACGTACTCAGTAACAGTCCCTCTTAGAGATGGGGAATGCGGAGTTCAGCTAATAGTATGTATTTATATGTATCTATTATCTGTCTATTCACTTCCCCTGGACTTTTTTTTAAGTGTTTTATCATTTCTTATTATATAGTCCTCCAGAATCCCAGCACCATGGAAATGAATCCTTTGATGTAAAATAAATGGTATAGAAGACTGTAAAAACGCAATGGTTGCAGGAACTCACATCTGACCTTTCTCAATGTGGCTGCCCAAAACATTTGCCCATTTTTACAGCATTTTGTACCTTTTTTTCTTTTCTTTTTTATTTCCGTTAACAAATTAACATTCATTACGTACCAAAGCTTTCTAAGAGTGCTATGGGCTAGTTTAAGGGATCATCTCTGAATTAGTGCTGACACTGTCCTACCTTCTGGAGGGGAGCTACGTCTGTTCCCCATGGTCCCTGTGTGTGTTGTAAAGTATTCACTGCTCCAAGCTCGCTCCCAGGATGGATTACAATCTTAATACCAATTAGTAGTTGTAGTCCATAGATTGTAGTCGATTTTCGGGAGTATTAGTATCACTGAACGTGAGATTGTAGTCCATTACCGAAGTGAGCTTTACAGCACGCGCAGGGACCATGGGGAACAAAAGTAGCCCCCCTCCAGAAGGAAGGACAGTGTCAGCACCAATTCAGAGATGATTTGAGGATCTACATCCGAGTGATACACAAATTGGATACAGTTTTTATAATAGTTAAAGGAGAACTATGAGGGGGGGGGGTGCTTTTCACTCACCTCATAGTTCTAGCCGACCTGTGACAATGAGACAGTCACAGGTCGGCTCAGTAGATCGGGAGGTGAGCGAACACATACCAGCATTCGCTCACCTCTCTATCCTGTCACAGCCCTTTGCCCTGACAGGGGAGGGTCTGGATTCCCCCCTCCGATCCGCCAGCGCTGATTGGCAGGTCGGACAGGGGAGGGGGCGGGTGCAGCTCGCTCTGCCTCTAGATAGGCAGAACCAGCTGTCAG